TTGCTTGAAGTTGGCCCCCCAATTAGATGTGATATGGGCAGCATCTCTTATTTATTAGAGAATAGTGTCAGCCCCGTGAAACAAAATAAGTAAGTAACTGGTGAAAACAGCTCTGCTAAAATAGAGGACTAGTTCTGATCCGGCCGGGTGTGATATAACACAGTAGTTTAAAGCTGTGTAATGCCATTTTCCATTAGAGCTCTTGTTCGAGTCAGGAAGGGGTTTGATCCATTGATGGAAGCTGCTACAAACAGACGAGAAAACCTCATCCATATTTCTCTTGAGATTGTACAAAGCTGACAGTATGCTAGCTGACCACAGTCATCTGGGACTCTCCCACACAAAATAACCTTCTTTTCATAAATAAAAGGATTGTTGTTGTGGTGGACTGAGATTTGCTGTAGAATTCAGTTTTGTCAAACAAAGAGCTTCTGGTTTTTAATTTGAGCCATTAATAAGATTCAACTTTCTCTTTGTGTCTCATTTTCCTTCCCCTCTTTTTCCCTTCCGTATTTTTTTTCTTCCTCTCTGTCTGTCTTTAAGATAACTTAAAGCTGTTTCTCTGAAACAAAAGATTTGCATGGGTCTGGTCAGTGGTGCCTCTAGATTGAATGGTCACAATTTCAAATCCTGTTTAGGACTAAACTTGGACGAATTCCATAAGCTAATAACCTAGTGCAGTGTTTCAAATTGATGGAGGTGCCGTCCTCTAGATGAGACATAAAAACAGAGATCCAATCTGCTTGGCAGAGACCCCACAGGACTTATCAAAGATGAGTGGGGGCTGCTAACTGTTTTGCCCTTGTCAAATCCTTACCACCACCACGGCTTCTCTTCCTGTTCCAAAGCAATGACACTGGACCTTATGAAAATGAGATGGTGAACTTGAAGGAGCCATTCTTTTTCTAATTATTTAAAGCAGTTTGCAGTGTCTGGCAAAAGGGGGGAGAGAGATAATCCACTCACTTGAAAGTGGAATGACCCTGAATTTTAAAAAGCAAAACAAAAGCGAGCGAATGGTGCCACCATGCTCTGCAGCAGTGACATTATTAAATGATCAGTGAGCTATTAAAGCAGCAACATTTAGTACCTCCCCTAATGACTTGTACTGCTAACTCGTTTCCAAATTGAGATTTTTATTGCCTCCATGCACAGACAGGACAAGGCTGTGTCTGTGCTTGTAGAGGCTCCAGCTTAAGCAGACTGTTCACAATAGGATCAATGAATCTTCTCAGTTGAAAACCAGTAATAGCTTATGAGATTCTCCACTCCTCTGTTCTCTTTTCTTACTGGGGCTGGAAGCTTTGGGGTGTGAGGCATGGTAGGGATCATAAATATGGGGGATTTTGCAGAGAGCCCGGCATGATTCTTGAACTTCCTAACATCTGTGAAATTTGGCAGAGTTGCGCATAAACAGACTGTTCTGAAATCTCCCCAAAATCACAGATGCTATTCAAAGAATGAATGTTGTGAGAATGGCGTTTGCAGGAGGGGCCTTGGGCATGCTGGTTTCCACTTCCAGGTAAAAATATGGAAAATGGAGGAATGAGTCTATGGAGGAGGAAGGGAGAGGAAAGGGAATTGCAGATGCTAGCGAAGGGCAAGATTCAGCCAGATGTTTCCACTGTGACTCTCCCAAATGGATTTCTAGTGTCTCATATGAGCTGAGCTCCTGTGACGGGAATAGCTGGGAAATGGCCTTCTATCTAGTGCAGTTCAAGCTACATAGGGAGTTCCTGTGGGCAAAAGCACAGCACGTATGATTGCAGAAAGGAAGTTGGTTAAAAAACAAGCAAACAAACAAACCACCCAGAAAAAGCGGGTTCTGACTGTAGTTGCAGTTATTTATGTGCTCATGATATACTGTAAGCCAAAGTGGAGTCTGCGCCTTCCATGTACCTGAAATAAATGCAAATGTTATTGCTTTGATTTGTTTTTCTCCATCGGTTCTGCACACGTGTGCCGTCTGCACTTGCTGAGTGAGTCAGGCCATTTCTCACCCAGGCTAGGCAGTCACAGGGAGAGACTGTTACTGCTGTTCCTGGTTTTATGTATCAGGTGCCTGATTTCCATGACAGAAACCGCTCATCCTTTGCAGAGGCAGCAGGCAGAGCAGAGGGGGTAGGATGGCTTGACAGACTAGTATTAGAAGATGCACATTTTGTATCCCATGCTGGTTTGAGTCTCTTTCCATCAATGCCAACTGCAAGTTGTTCCTATTTTGTGACTCTTCAGTTGGTGCATGTGGCACAGGTTTGCATTTCCAGTTTCTTGACAGTGTCCATCTACCTGTGTGTCCGTGCTCCGCAAAATGCCTTTACCTTTCCTGGTAATATTAGCAAACAGGAGGTCTGTGTGGGCTGCAAAACATGTTAAGAACGGTAGAAAAATGGGCTGAAGTGCCCTTAGAGGCCCTTCTATACTTCCCTTTCTGAACTTCATGCAGCACCAGTTAGACCTAAACCATTCCTGTCTGCTGTGAGTTTAACCTGTTCTTGAAGACCTCTGGTCTGGAGATTTCCAGATGTGCTAAGGCAGGTTATTCCAGTGGTTAACTGTCCTTACCTTTATAAAGCTGTTCCTAAGACCTATGTTCAGCAGTAGAACTGGATTCTTCTAGGTCAGGGTTAAGGCAGAGTTGTAAGGCACCACATAGGAGCCCACGTAGCCACTTCCTCGGCTGCACCCACTCTCATCTAAGGGCTTCCTCCCCCAGGAGAGCAGGTCAGGTGTTTCTCACCATGCAAACACAAGCAACGTAGAGAGACAAAGAAAAGGGCAGCAGGGCCATTTCTGGCAGAGGAGCCTTCTGAGATTGGCACTGACAAAATGTCCTAGAGACTTTACTGAGTCCAATTACCACTTTATGTCTTTAAAGTGCCAAGTAAATGAAAGAAACTACAAGATCAAGCCATGTTAGTCGTCTCAATCCCTTAAATGTTTGACAGCCCTCTCCCCTTCTTTCTCGCTTTCTCAGACTACTTTGAACTCTTAACCTTTGCCGCTGCTTTGAGTTCACATCTGCAGAAACCAAACTACCCCCAGCCATCCCCAAATTCCAGTAACAATCACAAAACACTTTCAAAGCAATGCTGCCCTCCCTCGAATTGATAAACTTTAAGCTGTCTCCCAACTTTCTGGACTTTCATGCACGTATGGTTAGTCTCGTCCGTCAGTGCTGGCAGGCTGCAGGGGAGCTTACTGGGTACTGCAGCAGCCGTGAAACAGCCGGTGCTGTTTCACACAACCAGCTATCCCTGTCCACACAGACAACAGCCGTGAACACCAGCTGTTCAGGCTGTGCTGTACTGTTGGGCAGAAGAATATAGATGCCCGCAGCACATATGGTATTAGGATTGCAATGAGCATATCAGGATAGACCCTGAAACAGAAGGGATAGATACATTTAACCATCCCCAGGTACAGCAGTGGGAACAGGACAAGTGGGACCAGATCACTGGAGAGAAAAGCAGTGTCAGGAGTCATCCTCAGCCATTAGAACTGGGCTCAACTGCAGCACTAGCAGAGCTGGTGGCTGGCTTTTTGCAGAACTAGAGCTAAAGACTGAGCCACATCAGTTCAACCTCCCCTTTAAATAAATAAATAAATGATAAACAGAGATCTCACAGTGATGCCCAAACCTGATGTCTCATGCTCACTTGTTTGGATGTGTCTAATGTAAATGGGTGGGTAATAAAAGCTTCATTTAGAAGCTAGCATCTTCACAGGCGCTGCTGGAAGCCCCTGGGACACTGCACTTCTGGAATTTTCCTCTAATGGAAACATCAGCAGATAACTATTGATAAAGCAGAACATGCATGCATGCACACAAAACAATCCAGCAATGGTTTATTTCCCTGGTCTGCTGGGTGTCAGATGCAGAGGTGTATTTAGATTCCCCAGGTTATGTACCCACCGCAGCTACTGCATCAGCATTCCTGAAATGGCCATTTCGATGACCATTTGGGGCAGTGCCCTGGAGAAGTATGTGGTTATTGTAGCATGGATAGGCATCAGTTCAAAAGAGGCAAAGCAGTCCTCAGCCCCTGTAATACAGCTGCGGATAATGGCATCGACTGCATTTCTCCCAGCTGGACATCACCCTGTAGATGATAAGCAGGCACTGCTCTGTAACGGGCAGACCTAGTGCTGACATTTTACACGAGCAGGAGATTCAACCCATAGACGCGTTGTCTAGGATATTATTTTTCAATGCATTCGCAGGTTATTCAGCTTCTTTTTAGGCAACTGAGTCTTTAGGAAGGTCTGGTTCCTGTGCCTGCGAGGTCTCTGTGGCAGCTTGGATGTGCAGCACCTGCCTAGTGTTGGGCTCAGCGTTAGCTGAAGGAGGAATCATGGCTAGTGAGAAGAGCCCCTGGAGTTACTGCTGACCTCCTTAAGGTAATCTACTGTGCTTTCAGTTCAGTGCTAAAATCACCACTTCAGGTCCTGAATACAACACAATTAAAGAACATTAAAGAAAAGTATATTTTCCCAGGACAGTGTGGGGGTCAGTGCTAAATGTTTGGAGGGCTACAGCTTTAATCCCAACCTTGAGTTTGTACACTGGTCCATGGCTGGTTCATACCATGACATTGTTGACCTCATTTCCTGGATACAAGCACAGAAATACTGCCTGTATCCAAGCATTTTTAGGTAATTATTTCCTCTGAACGTGGAAACTGGAAAGCTCCTGTTGTTTAGTGTATTACTTCATGACGATCACAGGGATCTGCAACCAGGCGTGGGGGAAAGGGAGATTGTTTCCTCCTTTCTGTGGTTTTATGCAGCATCTGCCTGTGAAAACAAGAAGCAAAGAAGATGACCCCCACTTTATCTGCTTGCGTAAGTCATTTTGCTTGAAGCCTGAGCACTGTGGGATGGCTAATGTAAAACTTGCTCATGCATCAAATAGCAGTAATTTACCTTTAGACTCTGCTTTTTTATTATTATTATTTTTAATTATTTCCAAAAAATGCTCCTTAATTAAAAACTCACAGATATGAAGCTGGGAAGAAATGTGGCCAGGACATTCTTGGATTACTACAGGCTGAACTCCTTGGTGGAAAGACCACTAGCACCTACTCCTAAAACTCGGTAGGTCAGAAAGCAATTTCTCTTGCTTTAGCAAGGCTGCTTTTTTAATACCTTTTATGACTAAACTTCAGTGCTACTGCATTATGGCTTTATAATAAGCGTGCTAGTCTAACTGTGCTTATTTTATTGAAATTCCATTCGGAAATAAAGCATTTATGACCAGAAAAGATACTTGGTTTATGTCTGAAAAAATATTCAGAGGATTTTGAAGATATAAATATTTTTCCTGGATTCTGTCTGCTGTACACCAATCTCACACCAGTATCTTTAACGGACTTACCCTTCGTTTATCTCCTGGGAGTGAGAGGAGAATCAGACCCACTTTATTTTAAAAAGTTTTAATTCTGGAAGTGAAAACTTTTTCAGTGCTTCAGGAAATTACTGGCAAGCCTGTGCTAAAGGCAGGGCTCTCCATCTCCCCTTGGACCTGCTACAGTGCTGGCAGCCAGATGTCAGGTTCCTTCTGCCAGTCCAAGTGGGACCCTTTGCCTGGGGATCCCCTCTCGCCATAAGTCCTTACGCCAGCTTTACAACCAGTTCAGTGGATGTTTGTCCAAAAGGAAGTCTTTTTGGACATGAAGTAAGGCACTGGTGAGCAATGCACAAAGGTGTGAACAGAGAGTTTGAAATGCTCAAGCTTGAATCCCCGCGGTACTGCTGGCCTTCTGTCTGGTGTTGGCCAGCTGGTGTCCTTACAGTGACTCTTAGCTTGTGTGAGGAGCAGGGGAGATGCCATTGAACTGTCAAGAACTGTCATTCCTTGAACAGGCAAAGCTGTGTAATAATGTGAGGAGGGGAGCAGAGCAGGAACCAGAGCTCCTGTTCCATGGGAAACACCATATTCAGAATTTGCCTCTGTTCTGAGAAAACAGCAATAATGCCTCCAAACGCAAAATCTCCAATTAAATGCATTTGGCCCAATTGGAATGTTTCATTTGGGTTTCAACTCTTAATAGCACAACCAAATATAATTTATATTTTTCAGTGGAAAAGCAAATTCCAAATTGGCAAGAGAGGCAGCTGAGCCTTGAAATTCACTCCCTTCTCCCTACTTTTTTCCCCCTTTAATAAACTACCTATGGAAATAGTTGCTTGTTTGCAAAGGAACACTTTCCTACTGAAGATTTTCTAGTGATGCATAAGATGGATGTTACAAATATCAGCCCAGACCATAGAGCAACTGCTGGAGTTCGTTCTGCAGCCCTTAAAAATCCTCTCAGTGCAGCCATTCTGGCAGTTCCTTATATATGTGGTCAGGGCCAGCCTGACTGCATTAGTGTTTAAATGCCCTGCTTTGAGTCCATCTCCCTTTCTCTGTTCATGATCTTGACACAACAGTTTAGGCTGGCTCAAGGAGGATTGTCAGCACTGCAGTTCTGAATGCTCTTATCTGCAGAGACCTGCAGGGTTAGCAGAGAAAAGCATCCAGCATCTTCCTCTCCTCCAGAAAATGAATGTATCATTTCTCTCAGACTCCCAGGGGCCACAGCCTTCAAGGCTAAAAACCCACAACTATTACTGAACCTAATTACCACCTGACAGCAAAGTACTTTTCTGTAGCATCATTCAGTTACCTCATCAAAAGGAATGTTTGTTTGCTTTCTTCACTTTAAATTAAAGAACCACTGACAGTGGTAACTGAAGCATTTTAATCTCATCAAATATCCATGTCCATCTCTACAGAGACAGCCACGCCAGCAGGGAAAGATACACATCTATAATCGGGTTGCAGAGAGCAAATTTTTCTTGTTCCCCCACCAGAGTCTAATGGGGTGAGGGATCTTTTGTTTGGGGAGTGCTACCTCGCACTAAAATCCTAAATACGGTAAATGTTCAGCCCAAAGCCAACAGATGTTTAAGGAATAGATTTTTTAAAGATTCATGTTGTTAATTTCCTGATAACTTTCAAATACCAGCTTTTCCCTGTAAGCAGATAAATGCCTTCTATTTGTATCCTGGGCTTTGTCACCTGACATTTGATCAGAGCCTGTATATACATAAAATGTACATCAATGAAATGAAATTGTTCTTTGAAGCTGTCGTGTTAACTGCAAACCTGTCCAAAAGAAAATCTTGCAAACTGCTGGGAAACAGAAGGGAGATGGCTGTGGCTTTAAATATGCCTTGGCTAGGCAGTGGCACTAGGAAGGGATTGGAATATGTAAAATGATACTAAATATCTGTGTAATCAGGACTAATTATATGGCATGGTTATTAGCTTTGAAACAGGACATGTTGTGCCCACAGTTTATGAAAATATATTAAAACATTACCAGATTCCACATACTCATTGAAAGAAAGCTGCAGAGTTAATAAACGTGTAAGGGACAACTAATTGCCTGCTTTGTCCCAGCCTACTACAGGCAGAACAATTTCTGTTTGAGGGAATAAGTGCAGCCAAAATGTGTTATAACGATAGCCCTGGAAATAGCAACAACCTGCAACACTTCCAGAGCACATCTGACTGAAAGATCTTAAAGAAGGAAATGTTTATGCTGGTATCACCATGTTGCAGAGAAGGAAATTAAGGCACAGAAAGGGAGAGACGGTCCTGAGAGTCAGAAACATGGCTGGTACCCAAATTTAGGCACCTTTTAAGAGTTTAGTCCACACAGTCAGGCTGTCTGACAACAGCCATACTAGAGCATAAGCAATGCTGGCAGTTCAGTGGGAAATGAATTAGGATCATCTGGAGCAAGAGGCAAGAACTGATGCAACAGCTCTGGCTACAGAACCAAGATTAAGGCTGGGGCTAGGGTACCCTCTGCTATCCCGTATACTTGTGCAGCTTATTTCAAGAGGTAAAGAGAAACAGCTATATCTGTATAAGGTGCTTATGTGCCTGCAAGTGAATCCAACTGTTTGGCTGGACCTGTGGTTAAATTCCACCTGCCCTTGTCTACAGCAGCCCCTGGGACAAGTGTCACCTGTAGATGGGGCCTTCAGTTCCTCACTGTGGAACTGTGCCCACCAGGAGTCAGGCTTCATCGGCTTCCCAAGAGGCCACCATGAAAGTGAGGCTAAGGCTGGAGCCCTCAAGTATTTGCTGAGCCTGCCAGTGGGGAGGCAGTACGGGTGCTGTGTTTTGTCCGAGCAGCTGGTTGCTAGAAATTAACGTTGAACCCATCATTGTGCTGGTGGTCTCTGAAGGGTTGGGGTAAGCTTCGGTGCACCTAACTCTGCACTGGGCAATCCTGTTCCCTCCCAACATGTCCTCACCAGTGAGAGGAGGTGTTCACAGTTGCAGGCCATAGACATCAAGCTTAGAAGCTTCTGCTCCCTCTATAACCAAAGGAACCTCTGGGCAAACCTCAAGTCCCCAAGTAGCTCAGATCCCTGAAAAGACCTCTGGACTGTGCACTGACACTGTAGAGAGGCCAGACATGAAAAGAAATGCTTAAAGGTTTTTTTTTTTAGCAGTCTTTACTTCTTAGACAGTTCTTTCTTTATACCCTCCCTGTCCAGCATGGATATTCTCCTGTGCACCCTGCCTCCCATTACAGCTCATCCAGTCCCTCCCAGAACCCTTCAGCCCCTTCCCTCTGGCTGAGCTTCCTCCAACCTTCCCCCAGTTCCCCTGGGAGCCCAGCCCAGTGGCCATGCAGGGTTTCCCACAGCCTACAAGGGAATGTCAGGAAGGTCAGGACTTGTTTCGGACAGTAACCCCTATGTGTCCTGCAGTCCTCAATGTGGGAAGACCCTGTGATCCCAAACAAATGCCTAGTTCAGAAAGATAATGTCCATTGTTATCAGCATGCTAAGCAATTATTTTCTTGAAGGTGATGTGTCTGTGGCAAGATAGGAAAGCATCAATGACTCAGCTGGGGAGGGCAGGAAGGTTAGAATATTTTCCTATGTGAGCTAATGAATTAAAAGTCCAGAGCGACAAGCTGTTAGGCCTATGAATTTCTAACAGAGTAAAAGAGACCTCTGTTCTGCCTACTGAAGCTGCTGGAGAACAGAGCGCTGCCACTTAGACGTGCTTCAGAGAGGCTCAGCAAAGTCCGTCCTGGATACAAAGACGTCTCTCTAAGGCTGGGTTAAGTGGGCACAGAGCAAGAGAGCGCAGTGCAGAAAGGGGCTGTCAGGTGGCAATGAAGGTTCATGCCCTTCCTCTCCTCTTGTTACTGTCTTTTTTTAAGCTGCTTGGTGACCAGCAAATTCTGCTCCCATTGCACTCACTGGAAAGCATTTGAGTGGGGCTCCCTTTGATGCTGCCAGTGGCACAGGGAGCTCTTCCTCTTACTGAGTCTCTGTCCTGCACTGACCTCTTTCTACTTGTGCCAGAGTAAAGGTTAAGATTGCTTGGGTCGAAAGTGAGAAATGTCCTCCACCGAAATCTCAGGTAAAAGGTGAAAAATTTGTAAGTGGTTAGGAGAAAGCAGAGTACAGCTGTTACAGAGAATGGTTAAGGTAGGAAAACAGATTTTTTCCTGAAAAATTCGCAAATGCCAGTCACCTTGCACTGCCTTAAGTCCACCTCTTTGCCCATATCAGCGTTGCTCTGTTCGTTCACTCTGGCTCATTGACTGCTCAGCAGACCCCTGCTCCAGCACAGCATCAGCAGAGGAGCTGTTGCCTCTTTAAACCACTGACATTTTTTCTCTGAAAGCCACCAGTTCCATGTTTCTCATTTTCTGGACACACTGGAGTTCAAATTATAGAAGTGCTGAGTGCTTACAGCTCTGACCGAGGTTAGGGGAGCTGGGCTTTGAACATACACAATGTGGGTACCCTGAAAAATCCCACCTGGGCCTCACTAGTGGAGCATTCTGCAACTCATGTCTGCACCATGTTTTCCTGTAGGTAAAACCCAGGCTCTCTGCTCACAGCAGTGTTGGAAAAGAAATTCCTTCCTGGGTGGGAAGTTCATGGCTGCTGCACTGATACACAAGAGAAAGTCCAGGAGAAGATGAATAATTCTGTCTAAGAGCAGGGATTTGATGGCATGCAGCAAATAATGCCTGGAGCCACACACTGAACAAAAAAAGGACAGAACA